CCTCATGCTAACTGTAAAAACCATCCTCATGCTGACTGTAATAAAACCATCCCTACTGCACTGTAACAAACCATCCCTCATGCTAACTGTAATAAACCATCCCTCATGCTAACTGACTGAACGTGTGTTTCATATCAATCAGATTTATTCATAAAGCCCGTTTTACATCAGCAGATCATACATGTCAGACACCTCTCCTCCCAAAGCCTTGGAAATAGCAGAACAGTCTATTAAAATACTAACACTGGAAACATGGTATGAAACTACCACATCAATTATATGTGTCTGTTGATATAGAGGTATTTACCTTTTTAAAGAGACCGAAAAACAAATGCAGTCAGTATGCCGTAATATTTTGCCAATTGCATTTTAATTGATAAGGAACAAGCTCCACTGATTGTGTTAAATATAAAGGCCATGGGGTTGTAATGTATGATGAAGGACGTTTCACTCGCTCTCTGACAAGAGAGTGACAGGGCACAAACGCTCCACCACCCACCAGCAGACATCAATCACATATCTCTACTCCTCCTCCTCCCTTCATCCATCCCTCTCCTTCCTTCCTTCCCTGCCGCCAGCCAGCCAGCACACGGCCGTCCTGCTCGCTGTTTTAACCAGCTAGTTCCCCCTCTCTCCTTCCTTCCCTGCCGCCAGCCAGCCAGCACACGGCCGTCCTGCTCGCTGTTTTAACCAGCTAGTTCCCCCTGTCCCCTCTGACACTCTCTCCCCAGGCAGTGTCGGGACCATCAGCTTCACAGCTTAATGACTATAATGAAATCCACCAATTAGCTCAAATCACAGCACACCTCTTGTGTCGTTCCACTAATTCTGTGCCATTTGAGAAAGTGTAACTTGGTCAAAATAAACTTTTGATTTCACCTCATTTTAACATTCTGTCATAAAGAACACATGTTCTACTTCATAAAAAAACAAGTTTTCCATCTCAATAGGTTAAATTAAAAAGGTTAAATTTAAAAAAATAGTAAGTGCCTATTAAATAATACATTGGATACAATAATTTTTTTTTTGGGGGGGGTGAGTTAAATAAAATAACAATAGAGTTAGCAGTGCTATTCAGGGCTAACAAAGCATGTGACTATAAAAGTATGACAACACTTTTGGTGGATGTATGACAAAATACCTTAGTGGACTTAATGGGCTACTTTCACATAGTCAGCCCAATTCTGATGTTTTCTTTCAGTAATTGGTCTTTTGACCAATCAGATCAGCTCATGTGAAAAGATCTGATGTGATTGGTCAAAACACCAATTAGTGTAAAAAAAAATATCAGAATTGGGCTGCCTTGTGTGAACGCAGCCTTGGTATCAAGTCCTTTTTTGCTACCCTTGTTGAATGTAACTTTTACGATGAACGGGAAAATAATAAGTACTTGTAACCAGTTAGTGAATGTCTTAGGGGCCACTGCTGAGCAGAGTCGTGGCCTACTTTGGATAACACTCTCATTCTTCACTAGTCATGACTGTTGATGATGATACCTGTTGGTGAGTGTTGAGATTATTTTTTTGTTGCATCCCAAACGGCACCCTATTCCCTATATAGCGCACCACTTTTGACCAGAGCCCTATGGGCATTATATAGGGAATAGGACACAGTCAACATCCCACTCGCCACATAACCCCACCCCAACCCTCCTCTCCAGTCCAGGCCCACTCTCCTCATAACCCCACCCCAACCCTCCTCTCCAGTCCAGGCCCACTCTCCTCATAACCCCATTCCAACCCTCCTCTCCAGCCCAGGTCCACTCTCCTCTAGTTCATCTTCTGAGTAGGAACCATGAGAACTATAGCTGAGATCCGTAGCAGTGTGCCTCAGGAAATCTGTGGGGCGAGACACTAAACCCACTCCAGCTGCTAAGGTCCCAGAAATTAACGCATCTTCCTCCTCTGCTTCCAGATCCTCCTCATTGTCCAGGGTAGCAGAGTTGCGGGTGTCTCCAGACCCAGTCTCGGAGCTGTTCTCCCCCCCGTGTGGGCAGCTGTACTCCCTCTGGACATCGGCTGCCTGCTCCTTGGCCTTGCGGCTCCTCTTCCACTTCATACGCCGGTTCTGGAACCAGATCTTCACCTGAACGGAACCCCGGAACACAAGGTCAGAAAAGAACATAAAAGTCACTCACACAATGGTCACACAAGTATTAGCGTGTCAGTCAAACAACCTGCGGCTCATTTTAGTGAGTCTAAAGTGTAGGACCTCTATGTGACTGCAGATGGAAATGAGCTTTGTAGCTAAATCTGGAGCGATATTTATTTTCTATGGTCCCCCTGACACAAACTGATAAAAATGGCAGACGATTGCACAAAAGGATTGAAAATCAGTTCAGAGATCATCTCGCTCACCTGTGTCTCCGTGAGCATGAGAGACGTGGCCACCTCAAAGCGTTTGGGTCTGGACAGGTATTTGTTGAATTTGAACTGGTTCTCCAGCTGTAGTAGTTGTTGGCTGGTGAAGGCTGTTCTGGGCCTACGACACTTCCCCGTCAGATCAGCATGAGGAGAGGCTGGAGGGGAGACCAAGAGAGAGAGAGAGGTTATTATCACATGTTAATAATAATAATCATTTGTTTTATTCTGAATAATACGTTGACATATTTCATTTGACGTGTTATCACATTCTTCTTTATATCAATACAATTCAATCAATCAAATGTATTTCATATAGCCCTTTTTACACATCAGCAGTTGGCACAGAACGTTTTACAGACACCGGCCTAAAACCCAGCCTAAAATGTTTTATTTATATGTGTACTTATGTGGGTTATTTTACATTTTCTTGGACATGTGAAGTTCATGTAGCTGTTCTGTAAGGGAGGAGGATGGAACTGAGACAGAAACACTGTCAACTTTAAAAGCTGCCATGATGATAACAGTTTTATTGGACTTTAGTTTGCAGTTGACGTGAGTCCAGGGAGATATTGCTTTAGCAGGGCTATAAAACTCAACAGAGTGCCGTTGTATTAATGAAAATGCAATAAATGTTACGGGGACTTTAGTGATGAAGTGGACCTATTGCTTCAGGTGTTTCTTTATTGTTAAATTGTTTAATTATCTCACATGGCTATGGCCTATTCATTAAAATGTTATTTATGACTAAGTTTAATGACTAAAGAATAGACATCGTTATGGTTCAGGAGTAAATAGGCTGCAGGTCCAATGACACTCGTCACATCACCTGAAAGATGCAGATCAATTATTACTTATTTTTGTAAATTATTCAAACGAAGTCCATCAGTTTGAATAATTCCGAAGAAAAGAGCAAGATCTAAGACACGGAACGAATATTTTATTTTACATTATCGCACAATGTAGTAAATTCACACACTGTTCAATGAAATTATAAAGTCCAAATAATTCAATAAAGGGGCAATTTATTCAATGAAAAGCTTTACCGAAATAATGCAGCACCAATACATTAATTTGGCTTCAGCATTAGACAACATATTGTCTTAATACATTATTTACAACTACTTTATTAACACACAATAACTTCTAATATGAACAGTGACAGAGCTACTTATTTTAATTATATTATTCAAATAAATATAAATGGGACCCCTCCAGGCTACTTACCACCATAGTCCCCGAGTCTTGGCATCATCATTCCGGCTCTAATCCAGTGTTCTAGCGGGAACCCAGCCATAGCTACCACCTTTAGGTGCTCTGGGTACTGCTGGGCAGGTTGCGCAAAGCCGGGGTAGGTAAAGGCAGGGTGCTGCCCCCCCAGGGCCGCGATGCGGTACATGTGGGCGGGATACATTCCAGGGATGCCCCCCTGAGACAGCTGGGTGAGTCCCGGGTGGGAGAAGTTCAGTAGACCCGGTTTGGGGACAATTCCGGTCTGAGTGTGGATACCGTTGTGGGTCCTCTGTGGGGATGGTGTCTCCGATCGGTGGCAAAAGACAGGGCTGTCCTCAGAACACAGTCCCGGGGAACTGTCCCGGTCCATCCGGTGCGCCTCGTGCGCCAACAGCGCGTCGATTCCAAAGTTCTTAGATTTCGCCATTGTAGACCTTTCCTGAAACTTTTCTCCAACTCAAATTGTGCAAATCGAATAATTGTTCTGGGTTATGTTTTGTCGGATTAGTTGTTCTAGGCAAAATGAAAGAACATCTTGTCCAGAGTTTTATAACTGCTGTTACACCGAATGTTTCAGTTTTTCTAAATAAATGATAATAAAACCTTACGTTATCACTTTCTTGACAATATCCTTTTATGTTCTTTGTTATAGCCTAATTTCTCCGGCGGTGTTTCCAGTCGCTCCTCCCTCCTCTACTCCTGTCCTGTACTAATACGTCTCCACCTGCAACTGGCAACTTCTCTCACACCGCTCTGCTGTTGAACCTCTCCAGCCCAGCCTCTGATTGGCTAATCTCAGGGTGCACGCGGGGTCAGACAGCTTTCTAATTAGCTAATTACGTTCCAGTTCACCCTGCTAGTCCGCTCGAGCTCGCCACACGCGCAGCACTGTACTTGGGCACACTGGTTAATGCTATCGGGACCTTGGGACGTCCATACCCTAACCCTAACCTCTACCCTAACCTAACCTGTACCTTAACAATAATCCTTACCTAACCCTAACCCTAACCCTTACCGTAACCGTTTTAAATGTTTAACTTCAGTGTGACATCAGAGTTGGGACGTCCCACGGATACTCTTTAGACTTTCACCGAGTGTAATTCACAAAGCTCCGAGAAAATGAGGTAGAAAAATACACGTTGTTTGAATAGGCCAGCATTGTATTATATAGGTTACTCCACAATTACAGATTTGGATGGAAGATTATTTTCTAATTGGTCACCGTTCTAGGAAGCAGCCTGAATTGGAATATTCCGAGCGCAAGCAGTGAGAGAGAAAGGCGCTATCATTTCGATTCTGAACCAAACATTATGCATTTCTGCATTAATACTGTCCATGGATATTTTGATAAATTCTCCTCAATTAAATTAAAGATATTAAAAAATATATTCTCAAAAGGAAGAAGTAATTCCAATAGGCCTAACATATAAATGATCTATTTACCGAGAATATACATTACCCTGAAATATTTTCTACATCAAATGTTTCAATTTTGTTTGGTGCACACCGCACAGTTTGGTTTAGGATTTTATTTGTTTTTGTCATGACCATTCACACGCCTTTGAAAAATGAAAGTGAAAATGACATTAAGATCATAGGCCTTCTGTTCAAGACAAATACAAATATTATCATATCTTTAAGCCTGTTCATCCTTTGGTCATGCTATCAATACATTTGGTCATTTTGCATTATACCTATTTTTTATTAGGCTACTACAAAACTACGAACTACAAATATTTTGTAAGAATATTGGCCTATGCAATAGTGGCCTATGCAATATCCTGTAGCTCAGTTGGTAGAGCATGGCGTTTGCAACGCCAGGGTAGTGGGTTTGAATCCCACGGGGGCCAGTATGAAAAAAATAATGTATGCACTCACTAACTGTAAGTCGCTCTGGATAAGAGCATGTAAAAAAATGTAACATGCAATGTACCTTTTATCTTTGTGAAAATAACCCATATTGGACCATTAAGACATATTACCAGACTGGAGAGTGACAAGCTATACAAACTGCAGTGATTGATTGAAATGGGGAGGGACAGGTTGTGATTGGTTTCCAGTGTCACATGGAACTGAAAGGGCGTTGCAGGGCCAATGAGTTTGGTGATCAGGGTAGTAGTATGTCATTGGCATTTGGCCTCATACCACTCAGTTTCACCATCTGAGATTGAGAAACAATTCTCCCACACTCACTCACATAGTAACTCACAAATAGGCTAACACACGTACACACACGTACACACACACACACACACACACACCTGTTGACCCTTTTCCACATTGTGTTAGGTTTGCATCGTCGTCAAAACATACATAAAAGTCTATGCGGCTTATCAATTTATTGCTGTTCAATAAACTTTATTGGTGGTTGAGTTGACAGAACACAGGGTGCTTATCACCAATTACAGGTATTATCATGGTAACCATTATCACCTGGTGAAGCTGTCTAATATCCCAGAAGGAAATGTTTGACTGTCCAGGAGCTTTTCCCACTAATCACTACTCCTAATCACAGACCAATCTCGGCAGTTTATGTAGGCCTACTCATTTGTTGACAGCAGATGAGCAGGATATCAAATGCCTGGAGAATGCATTGGTGCTGAAGTCAAAGATAAAACCAACATTCAACACATTAAAGACACCGTCTCGGGTTCACTCCGTATCGCCGAAGTGTTACATGCTGACCAAACTGCCTGCGTTGTGTGTGCGAGCGTTGCAAAATAAATTGACACATACATGTTATTCAATCACTTCACCTAAACTTATCGCGCGCGTCAACAGGCGTCTGCGTAGCCAGGCGCTAAAATAGAACTCGGTTCTATTTTAGACTCTTGACGCGCTGCAAGTCCCTGTTTTTCCCATCTACTCATTGGTTTTTATGATCATATACCCATGTGGGTAGAGGAACGAGGTCCACACTCCAGTCCAGTTGGTAGCAGTAATGCACCTTAAAGTTGATTGCCAACACCATATAAAATCCACAGAAGAAGAAGAAGAAGAAGAAGAAGAAGAAGGCGGAACAAGGAGAGAAAACAAACTAAAAACGAACTAGGTTCAGCTCTCTGGCTGGGCTGGATGGTGAGTTAGTGGACCTGCTCTAGTAACTCCAGTAGCAGTAGTGTGTGTAAATTCACTGGGGAAGCCAAGCCAGGGGGAAAAAATGGCCATATTACAACCTATGTGTTGTGATAATTGCGTTGTTTGCTCTATAACCTGTTAGTTCATATGCCTTGACACCGTGAACTATAGGCCTAAAGGCCGGGACAATAAGAAGACACAGTGGCAGAATAAATTCAACCACACCTTTGTTTCATCACAAAACCGGAGAGCAACATCTGTCTGTTGAAGTCCACAAAGCATATTGCCTGTAACAAACAGCAAGTTAATATTTCAGACATTTTTGGACTACTAAACAACTATTGATTTAGAACCACGGAGAGTTACCGCAAGTCACTAAGAAAACAGGAGCTGCCTCCACTACTCCAGCACCATTTTAACTTTAACATTTCAACATCATCAAATCACCTACGCTTAGTCTAATACAGTGACAACTAAAATAAACCGAAAACAATTTAGCCCAATCAACATAAGCTAAATATGATGTGGCTGTCTATGGTACTGATGTGTGTGTGTGCGTGTGTGTGTGTGTGTGTGTGTGTGTGTGTGTGTGTGTGTGTGTGTGTGTGTGTGTGTGTGTGTGTGTGTGTGTGTGTATACGTGCTTGCATGTAGAAAGAAAACATGTTGATTCACTCTACTTGTAGAGAAACACCATCCTCCTCCTCTCTTTCATGTTGACTAAATGGTCAATCACTGTCATACAGTACACACTTTTAGTTTTTGTTGTCCTCGGTTACCTGGCTAAAATACTTGCTCGCTAGCCTAACTTCCTTTCATGGGCAACGGTGAGCCCAGCTAGTTAACATTAGCCTACTACATCTAGCTACGTATTGAACTTCCATCCTCTCATGTAAGGGGCACAATGTATGAATATGGTTGGATCAGAATCGCCGTTGTAATCATTGACCAGTATGGAGAATTAAGTAAAACCACAAGTCCAAATCCCTATCTCCATCCGTGGCTAATTTAGGAAAGGGACAATTTTAGCTAGCTAGCTAGCCACCGGAGGACAACAACACAATGAGATGCAACAAATTCAAGTTTCTTCTGTCAGTAATGATGTTTGGCTTTTAATGTGATGTGATTGGTATGTAGCCAAATCCAAACTGGCTTCCCTTGAACATATTTTTTTTGGTGAGCCAGGATCATTCATAGTTGAGCTCACTGAGTTTAGCTCAATTCTGATTTGCTATTATTTTATTTAAAAAGTATCTAGGGAGGCCAAAAGCTCACTGGCTTCCCTTGCATTCAATGCTATGGGCGGCAACAATATTATACTATTTTTGACCAGACAGCATCAGCTAGATGGGCTATAATATAATAATAATAATAATAATAATAATAATAATAATAATAATATAATAATCATTAAAAAAAATTATATATATATATAATAATATAATATAATATATGCCATTTAGCAGAGGCTTTTATCCAAAGCGACTTACAGTCATGTGTGCATACATATTACGTATGGGTGGTCCCGGGGATGGAACCCACTACCCTGGCGTTACAAGCGCCATGCTCTACCATTTGAGCTACAGAGGACCATATACTGACACAGAGGGGCGCTGTTTCGCTCGGATGCTTTTCTCCGGTGAGATACATTCAGCCTCTTGCGAATTGAAGGAAAATTATGAAACACAGAAAGACGAAAAATACATTATTTTATATTATTTGTATTTTTTGATTGTTCCGTTTTTTTGGGGAAGTCTGGCATCCATTGGCATCCAGCAAAAAAAAAAAAGAACATATGCATTTCAGGTAAAATAACAACCCAATGTTTATCTCCCAGGACAAATGAACCAGCAGCAGCAAGCTAGCTAAATGGTCAGAGAGGATAGGTGGGTGTATAGCGTATAACGCAAAGGTCTAGCAATCCAAACATGTTGGAATCACATGATGGACAACTTTAGCATTTGAGATCATTAGCAACTTTGCAACTACTGGGCAACAACTGCCCATTGGGCAAGAACTGGTTGAATCAACGTTGTTTCTACATCATTTAAACCAAAATAATCTATGTGATGACGTTGAATCAACATGGAAAACTGATTGTATTTGCAAAAAGTCATCAATGTAAGGACATTTTGTATTTTTTTTCACCCAACTTTGAACCTAAATCCAATGATATGGTGACATTTTTTGTTGATTTCACATTGAATGCACTTTAGTTGACAACTCAGTCAAATATAAATCAAAACTAGATGTTGAACTGACGTCTGTGCCCAGTGGGTACTTTTTAACTACTTAGCTAGCATGTTAGCTAACGGTACCACATTGACTCAAATCAAATCAAATCAAATTTTATTGGTCACATGCGCCGAATACAACAGGTGCAGACATTACAGTGAAATGCTTACTTACAGCCCTTAACCAACAGTGCATTTATTTTAAACAAAAAAAGTAAGAATAAAACAACAACAAAAAAAAGTGTTGAGAAAAAAAGAGCAGAAGTAAAATAAAGTGACAGTAGGGAGGCTATATATACAGGGGGGTACTGTTGCAGAGTCAATGTGCGGGGGCACCGGCTAGTTGAGGTAGTTGAGGTAATATGTACATGTGGGTAGAGTTAAAGTGACTATGCATAAATACTTAACAGAGTA